ATCAGACGTCTGTGGTTCTTGTTAAAGAGATTGTAAAGAGGTTTTCTAAATTTTTTATGTGTATTAGAGACACTGATAGCATCAATTTACATCATTCTAATTTTCAATCAGACGTCTGTGGTTCTTGTTAAAGAGATTGTAAAGAGGTTTTCTAAATGTTTTATGTGTATCAGGGACACTGATAGCATCAATTTACACCATTCCAATTTTCAATCAGACGTCTGTGGTTCTTGTTAAAGAGATTGTAAAGAGGTTTTCTAAATTTTTTATTTGTATCAGGGACACTGATAGCATCAATTTACATCATTCCAATTTTCAATCAGATGTCTGTGGTTCCTGCAATTCCACTAAAACTAAGTGTTTGATGCCTTTACTATCGCAAAATATCACATAAGGCCCTTGGCAATTAGTGACGTCATCTAGTAGAATTGCAGGAATCACAAATCAAATGAATTCTGCACCAGATTGGGCTAATGAAGACAGGAAACGCCATGCAGTGTTCAATGAGGGAAATTTAGCCATGATAGCAACTCTTTACCAATTTCCAACTGTCGAGGGATCTTTAACGTACACAGACTTTAGCACACGGGGCCTAAGTTTACTGTCCCATCTGAACGACTTTTTCCATGTTAGCCCAAATGTAGCAGGGGCGACAGAATTGTCCACCTTACACCGAGGGGTCATAATATATTTTGTTAAAAAACCTACCCTTTTAAGGGGTTGACAACAATAGATCTGGGATTTCCCAAGTCTTTGATGATGTCACGTCTGTCTCCAGGCTGTTCGATTCGGACCACAGACACTGTTCTCTGAGCATAATCGGTAAAATACAAATTCTTGGACATCCAGTCTACTGACAGACCTTCTACTGTTCTAATACTGTTAACAACTAGTGGGACTGGATCTAAAAATCAAACAGAATGAACATGAATGAACATGAAATGAAAACAGAATGAACATGAATGAACATGAAACGAACATGAACCAACATGAAATGAACATTAATGAACATGAATCCAACATGAAATGAACATGAAACGATTATGAATTAAAATGAAATGAACATGAATCCAACATGAAACAAACATGAAATGACCATAAAAAGAACATGAAACCATTATGAATGAACATGAAAGAACATGGATAATCATTAATCCAACATGAAACTGACATGAAACGAACATCAAGAGTTATTCATCTTACTTTCGGAAACCTGTTTCATTTCATGAAGACGGACAACCAAAGGGAATGCATTATAAAATTGCAAACCAAAATGAAATTGAGTTTTACGTACTACTTTTCTGCACCCGAAAATCCAAACATTTTAGCGAAACATTGGTAGCAGGTAATGAACTTTTCACATGAGGAAGTATATCAATGATAAGTGAGTAAGTATTTCACAATGAAAAGTGGTATCAGGTGTCTAGAAGAGTAGGCATACCCTGTCTGGCACAAAACTGCTCACATGAGGAAGTATATCAATGATAAGTGAGTAAGTATTTCATAATGAAAAGTGGTATCAGGTGTCTAGAAGAGTAGGCATACCCTGTCTGGCACAAAACTGCTCACATGAGGAAGTATATCAATGATAAGTGAGTAAGTATTTCATAATGAAAAGTGGTATCAGGTGTCTAGAAGAGTAAGCATACCCTGCCTGGTACAAAACTGCTCACATGAGGAAGTATATCAATGATAAGTGAGTAAGTATTTCATAATGAAAAGTGGTATCAGGTGTCTAGAAGAGTAAGCATACCCTGCCTGGTACAAAACTGCTCACATGAGGAAGTATATCAATTATATGTGAGTAAGTATTTCATAATGAAAAGTGGTATCAGGTGTCTAGAAGAGTAAGCATACCCTGCCTGGTACAAAACTGCTCACATGAGGAAGTATATCAATGATAAGTGAGTAAGTATTTCATAATGAAAAGTGGTATCAGGTGTCTAGAAGAGTAAGCATACCCTGCCTGGTACAAAACTGCTCACATGAGGAAGTATATCAATTATATGTGAGTAAGTATTTCATAATGAAAAGTGGTATCAGGTGTCTAGAAGAGTAAGCATACCCTGCCTGGTACAAAACTGCTCACATGAGGAAGTATATCAATTATATGTGAGTAAGTATTTCATAATGAAAAGTGGTATCAGGTGTCTAGAAGAGTAAGCATACCCTGCCTGGTACAAAACTGCTCACATGAGGAAGTATATCAATTATATGTGAGTAAGTATTTCATAATGAAAAGTGATATCAGGTGTCTAGAAGAGTAAGCATACCCTGCCTGGTACAAAACTGCTCACATGAGGAAGTATATCAATTATAAATGAACATAATCATCATTACATATTTTGAGAAACACGACCAAGTTTTTTTTTAAAGTTGACCAGGCAAAAGAATTGAAAGTTAGAAACTTTCTTACGCCAGGCCGAAGATATCAAACTAACTTACCTGAATCACCTAACTTTCCTTGATAAATAACAAGATTTCGAACATCAGAAAAAAATACGGTTTCATTTTCAGCTATATAGTCAACTGCTACGTAGTTTCGGCCATTACGGCCTCGACTTGGTCCGATGATTGGTTGTATGGCATCCACGGAATACGTGTCTGATTCTTCTACAGGAATACCTCGTACGGCATGCATTGAGGCAAATAATATAAATTTATCGATCTCTACAAAAAAAGTGAAAAAGTAATTTGAATAAAATGCAGATCTGTTCGTTCTGGGTTTTCTGTTTTTGCGGAGGATGATTTCAACTTTACGATGTGGGCGTATAAAAAGTGAAAAAGTAAATTGATTAAAATGCAGATCCGTTCGTTCTGGACCAATCGTGTGTCTGCACCAAAAATAGTTTAACATTCTGCTTTTCTGCATCCGATTGGGCTAATGAAGACGGGCAAAGCCAAGCAGTGTACAATAAGGGAAATTTTAAAAATAAAATCATACATACTTGTGCAGTTGATGGAATTATCCGCAAGCTGGTACCCTGCCCCACACAAACATCGATATCCCAGTCCAGAGTTATCCGTCGTGTGAGATATTATACAGATCTGTTGACAGATATTATCTTTACATGGGTATTTCTCTACAAAAATATCACAAACTCAGCTAATTAGGAGTTAAAGGGACAGGTGGGGAATTTGGGGGATTGATTTGAGTCTTGAATATATGTAAATAGTCTTCAGAAATACTAGAAATGTACGAA